TTGCATCAGGCCTGTGACCTGGTGGTGGTGCTGGTTGCTAGGTGCCACCGAGTTAGTTCCAATCCACAGCAACGCTGTACAGCAGAACAAAACACAGCCTGCTCCTGGGCCAGCCTCACAACTGTTCTTACGTTTGAACCCATAGTTGCAGCCATTGTGTCAATCCATCCCGTTGAGAAACTTCGTCTTTTTAGCTGCCTTCTCCTTTACCGAGCATGATGTCCTTTTCCGAGCATGATGTCCTTTTCCAGGGACTGGCTTCTCCGAGGACCGGCCCAAAGCACGAGACAAAGCTTTGCTATTCTTGCTCCTGTGGAGCATGCTGGGTGCTCTTCTTCTGAGACAGATTTGATGCCTCTTTTGCCAGTCCATGGTGCTCTTGGTATTTTCATAAGCACCACAACTCACACACATCATTCGTTCCAGCTTTCCCTAGTCAATGTCCAACTTTCACACGTGTGAGGTAATTGAAAATAGCATGGATCAGTGCTCAAAACGAAATCCTTGCTTTTCAACACTTTGAAGAGGTCTTTGCAACAGATTTACCAGTACAATGCATCTTTGAATCTCTTGACTGCTGCTTCCATGAGAATTGACTGTGGATCCAAGCAAGACAAAATCCTGGATAATTTCAATCTTTTCTCCATTTATCATGATGTTACCTCTTGGTCCAGGCTTGGGGTTTTTGGTTTTCTTTACATTGAGTTGTCATCCATACTGAAGACGCAGTCCTTGATCATCAACAGCAAGTGCTTTAAGTCCTCCTCCCTTCAGCAAGCAAGCTGTGCATCTGCACACCAAAGGTTGTTAATAAGCTTCTCCAAACCTAATGCTGCATTTCTCTCCATATAATCTGGCTTCTTTGTTTTCTCAGAATACAGATTGAATAAGTGTTGTGAGGAGATACAACTTTGACGCACACCTTTCTTGTTTTTAAACCTTGTTCTGTTCTCACAACTGCCTCTTGATCCGTTTACAGGTTCCGTCTGACACCATGAGGTGTTCTGGTATGCCCAAAGTTCTCGAGGATATCCCCACGGTCTATGCGGCATGTTGTACCCCCCACAGTGGATCCCATCAGAGCTGGTTCCATTATGTCAGAGCACATCAAGGTGGATAACTAGGTCTTAACGCCCAAACCACTGAGAATCGGGCCCAGCCAAGTAGACACAAAACCTAACTATCACAATTGTGAACTTTCTTACTTTTCCCTGGTCAGAATTGTCAGCATTTGCATCCGAGCAGCATCTGGTCTGCTTGGTTTTTTGTCCTAGGTAAAGGCGGCTGTAGTTGCATATGTTTCATGGATTGGCTTCTTCTTTGATCCTTTGATTTCCATCATTCCTTCTGCATCATAAAAGTAAAGACCAATAAGTTTTATCTTAGATGATGGCTTGCAAGCTTTTCAGACCCCCAGTACTACTCACAAAACTTGAATGTAGAACATTATTATTGTGAACTCTGTTATACTAATCAACTAAGATCCCCTGAGACTGTGGGGTAAGAGAAAAATTAAAAGGCCTAAGTAAAGGGAGAAACAGTTTGTGTTCATTGGTCAGAAGACCCAATACTGTTCACTGTCAGTTCTCTCCCAAAAGCTCTATCAATTTAATGTAATCCAAGTCAAAATCCCAGGAACTGTTTTTGTAGAAATAATGAAAATGGACAGTAATTGTGACTAAACAACATGATGAACATAATTAATGTACAAGTAAAAGTGGTTGAAGCGGGAGGGGGGAAATGAGCAACTGATATTAAGGGCTAAAGCAGAAGGCAAATATTTTGAGAACGATGAGGGCAACAAATGTACATATGTGCTTGACACAATGGATGGATGTATGAATTGTGATAAGAATTGTATGAGCCCCCGATAAAATAATTTTTTTAAAAAGTGGTTGAAGCAGCAAATTTTACACAATAAAGAGAAAGAATATGGGTTAACAACAGGCTAGACTGGAAAACACAAGTTTTTCTTGCTTGGTATATTTTAATTTGTTCTTCGTCAGTGGATTGATGTTGTTGCTGTTTTGTT